CACCCATGATATGCAATACCCAAGGAGGTCGGAGAGAGGATTGGATCCCTTGGAACTGGGAGTTTCACAGGGTTTTTAGCTGCCATCTGGGTGCTGGGAACCTGGGAACCAAACCCAGGTCCTCTGCAAAAGCAGTCAGTGCTCTTAACCACTGAGCCATCTCTCCAGACCTTTGTGCAGTTTTTGTTTCAGTCATCACATATTATTTACAGGACTCATGAGTTAAAGCACAGTCACCTGTATGTACTCATATTTCTGTTCTTTCTTTTGTTCCTTCTGTTTTCCTAAAGTCCCACAATCTTTTTTTATTGTATACTTTGAAGAAATTCCTGTAGCCATTCTTAAAGTGTTTGTCTGCCAGCTATAGCTCTTTTCTCCTTTTGACTGAGAATCTCATTATGTCCACTGAATTCTTGAAGTATAGCTTCACTGAATGCAGATTCTTTTCTTTTAATCTCTGCTCTACTGCTGAGCTTATCAGCATGTTTCTTATTTCTCAATTATACTTTTTCAGTTCTACAATTTTAATCTTTTGGTGGGGGACAAATAACCCAAATTTGTTAAAAAATAACTCAAAGTGGAGAAAAACATCAAGGTGAATTTACAGATTCAAAGAGTCTTCAGAACTGGAGATGTGACTCAGGGAGAGCATACTTGCCTAGATGTACAAGGCCCTGATTTGGATTGCCATCCTTGTAGAAAAAGTCTTTAAAAAAATAAATGACTGCAACTCTTACTTGACTTTTTTATTTTAAATTGTATTTAAATAAGAAATAATTATACATCTATGAGAACATTTAAAATTTATTCTCAGGTATTTTGAAATATATATATTAATATTAGCTATGGTCAACTTGCTATGCAATAGGTCTTAAAACTTATTCCTCCTATCTAAATGGAACTTTGAATCAGTTGAACATCTATTTTGTGCCCAAACAATACTAAATACTGGAGAGACACTGTTCAATAAGACAGTCCCAATCTCTACATGCCTCTTTCAAGGCAGCAGAAAACACAGATCAAGATTGTGGTAAATGAACAATGTGACTCAAACATTTCCTAAATTTTTATAATAGAAGACATAAACTAACTTGCAATCTGTAAAAGCTCAGCAATAATACATTGGAATTTAGACAGTAATTTCAAATTTTAAAATGAGACATTTTAAAGGATACTACACATTGTCCTGCAAATAGGTAACAAGTGGCAAAGCAAAACCTCCAGACCATTTTATTGGCCATATTCCAAATATTCAGAACCATAATCAATTCTCAGATTCTGAGGAAAAGATATTTCAGAGCTTAAAGCTATGGAATTTAAGATTAGCTTTTTAAAAATGTAAAACCATTCTGTTATTATATATTATTTAAACCTCTGAGATCATCCTCCAGCCCAACAACATCCAACAGAACTTTCTGTAGAGATGATGGTGATGATGGTGGAAATGTTCTGTTTCCACACTGTCCAATTCAGTAGTCACTAGTCACATGAAATGTGGCTAGAAAAACCGAGGAAGTAATATTATAATTTTATTTAACTTAAATTAATTCAAGTTTAAATAGTCACAGCTGTAATAGTAGGCGGGAGACATTTCTCTGAATGTCAAGTGTAAATAATTTTCTTTAGATTTATTCATTCTAAGTTGAAAAAAAATTTAAATTGTGGCTCTCTGCTTCCCTGGGCCTGTACCACCGGCTAACTCTCCTAGCCTACACTACTATCCTCAGGCCTCTTGGGGTAAGTCTACAGCGCAGCTCTCCGCGCCGGGACTCCCTAAGCCTCATTCACCCTTCCATCCCCCCCCCCTCGCCGCTCTATACTCCTAGTTTGAC